TATATATATATATATATATTTTTTTTATAATGATTTTAAGATCGCAATGCATCACGATATGACGATGAACATTTTATGAGTTCTCGCTTGTGTACTAACAAACATCTTGCGAAACTTGACGAATTAGTATGGTTTCAAGAAAATGCAAAATTATATACTATATATCCTCAAGTATGTATAATATGACAAATATTATTTCACTTATATTTATAAAAGTGAAACAATAAAATTGATGATTATTATTTTATTAGCAAAAAGTTGATATATCTGACTGGCTGAGTTATCCAAGTGGAAAGTCGTTTCCCCTGTACGCGAGTAATTGCTGTCAGATTTCAAGCAAATCTGATCTCAAGCTGCATATTCTTGTCGAAGTTGATATGGAAACTTATAGATCTCGGGCCTCAACAGTCTCTACAAAAGTACAATGTTCAAGTCTTTAATTATTTGTTATACATTCTGTGCTCTATTGTTATACATTCTGCATGTATAATTTATGTAAGCTTTGAAACTATTATTATTTTGTAACTAATTGCAAGTCAATTTATCATGTTCTATTTATACATATTATTTTACAGCTTGAGGATTATGGTTTAATCATGGCATGGACAACATCAGATACGAATATGAGCTTTATTTTAGAAACGGATATAGAACATATTACGAACTTGATAACTGGAGTCATGCAAGGACAATATTGTATTAATCATGGCTTATGTTTAACACGTGTTCAATGTATATATTATTCTTGCATCTCGAAATATAATATATTTCATATTTCATATTTTTTATAATATATTCCAATAACTTGACATTTATTTGCTTCATTTTACTTTATTTTTTCAGCTGTTTTAGTATCGGGAAAACCGTATATTTATAATGATACTGGACACCTTGGCCCACCACCAAATAAAAGTAAGTTATAATGATTCAACTCTTGTATTTATTGTAATAATATGAAATAATAATCTTTTAATATGTGAAATAATTGTATGCTTTTACAGATAGTTTTTATGCGAAGTGTGAAGCAGCTCGAGTATCTTCTCAGAAAAATAAGCCTAAAGGGATTATATGTGGTGTGAGTGTACGATCACAAGATAAAAATGTGAATTCTGAAGCATTTACGGAAGATTTCTACGTAACAAGTAAGAAAGATAGATTATGCAAAGTTGTCTCTAAAAATTTTTGTAGGTATATTTTTAATTTTACATCTTTTAGATGCTAAAACATCTAATTCAGCACCAGCAACATGTAATTCATCACCAACTGATGAACGTATAGGAGGATTGGTAAAAAATCCATACAATAGAGCATTACCAAGCGACGTCCTTCTTGCCGCTACTGGAGGATATAAACCTGATTTAACCAAAATTTATTTACCTGACAACATGGAGAAAAAAGACAATACTAATGAAGAAGTTGAAAATATTGATCAAAACAAGAGTACTAAAGAAACAACTTGCAAGTGAGTATATGTCTAAAAATAATAAAAAGAGTATATAGGATATATTTAATGATTATTGTATTTATATTTATGTAATGAACAATAAAAGAATAAAATTATTTGTATTATATTAATTTACAGAAATTCTGAATTGGAAGTAAGAGAAATTCCCAGTAAGGTGATTAAACCACCAAATGTTCTCGTCTGTGCAGATACTCTAGGTGCGACCGACAATTTAGAAAATTTATTATCAAAAGTGCTAGAGCGAGATAGGTATATTATGTTAAGTTTTATATTATATTAGGATCTATAAGTTTGTTGATCAGTAAGTTGTATCAAAACATAATAAATTTTAACAACTTGCTTCTGCAGATAATTAAGTTATTTATTTCATTAATTATTAGTTATAAATCATTACTTTTTTATAAGATAACATAATTTTTATACTTTTTATGTGATGTTACAGGTATGACATCCATGTATTTTGTAAAGGGGACTATAATAGTTGCAAAATTTGGATAGATCAGGTTTCTTTAGTAGTTCTTTGTGGTAATGTTGGTGCAGAGCTCGGTGCTCAGCTTGTAGAATACATTATACAAGGAGGCAAACTCTTAGCGTTATGTTCTGACATGTTACATATTTTGCTACCATCGTTCAAGACTGCCGAAGTACGTGAGAATGAACTCGTACACTTTTCATATGGTAAATGGAAACAAGTACGTATGATGCATCACATCTTTTGCTATCATGCATCCCCCGTACGAACTCGTTTTTCTCAAGAACACGAAGATATAAGGTAATATCTTCATTGTATTAATAAAATAAAATATATATTTTATTATCGTGAGAAGAAAAGAAAAATATTAGACCAAAATAAATCTGAAAAAAATATTGTAATTATATCCAATTATATATGTTATATTTTAGGACGTCCGCATTGAATACTCCAACGTCAACTAGTGTTAAGGACAAAAAGGGAAATTTACATTCGTTTGATGTAAAAGTATTAGGCAGAGAAGAAACATGGCACAGTCCAAGCATATTACTCGCAACTTTGCCTAATAGTGGTGGCAAAGTTGTGTTCTCTCAAATCCATTTAGAGATAGATCCAATGAAATATGTATATGAAGGAGATAAATTTAACGAGCTGAAGAAAAGTAATACTGCACGGTTGGAAATAATCAGCGATCTACTGAGCACACATTTAGGATTGGATGTAAATCGTGATTTAAGTCAAGTATCAGATAAAAAATCTATGCGGTATACTCCAGGTTACTTTTTAGGCAAATTTGAGGTACATAAATATATTAAGAATGAACAATCCTAATAATGATTATACAATTAGCAATAAAATGCTATGATTTATTAATAACTATAATATAACTATACGTATATTTTAATAATAAATGATTTTATTAAGACCATAATAAATACTGAGAGTAAGAATAATCAAGTC